TATTTTATAATAATTTTTAATTTAATCTCAAATCTATACTATTGTTCAATATTTAGTTAGTGAATGTTATTTATTACTCGATTATTTTATAACATATAATTTTTAATCTTAATATAAAACTTTTTCGTGATATCTTTTTTACCTTTTTAAGACGATAATAATTATTCTTACTAAAATATAATCGGAGCTATATGAACTTCGCGAATCGAATTTTTAGCTTTAAGTGTCTAATAACCGTAACTGATAAACGACTAGAAATGAACATTCTCGTTGGAAGAAAACCCTCCAGTAAAGTCAGTAATTCAGGCCTGGAAATTCACCCGTATTGCCTATTTTTCACCCCTGCCTCGGATTCATCAAACATTTCCTGAAATTGGTGAGAGAGCTTAACTGTTCTAACGAAGGGTAGCTTCCCTAGAAGCTCTGAATGAAGTTTAGATTGAGAATAACCTCGGGAAAGAAAGTCGAGGAAGAATCTTTAAAAAGATAGATAGGTTGGACAGTCTAACGCTATTTCGCAGCATCATCATCATTATTATCGTCATCATTATTTTGTATAATCTTCGTATAATCAGATTGCATTCATTATTCACCAGAGGGTAATTGAATTCCAAGATACTTCGAGAAGATAAGTTGGTCAGATATTCTGACATGATTCATAAACTGTGTCTTTCCTATAATTTTTCGAAAATTAATGAATGTTTGTAGAAAGACAATTTCAGATACTTATTCCACTGAATTCGTAAAATTTTTCTGGCGGATAAAGTCAATATACCTTTTATCCCTTTGATTAAATTACGATTTTGATTTGTGAACAATTTCCAAAACATATGGAAGGGGACATAATTCATATGATAAGCAAAAGCAAAGAGAAGGATGGAATCAATGGAAAATTGTTTGAATCACAAAGGAAGGCCTTTTATAATGATATAAATATCATAAGACATCTATTAGTATAATTCAACGTACTTCGAATGATAATAACTTTTAAGGAAATAATTTTAAAACATAGTACGTTTTTGTAATTTCTAAATACGATTCTTATTTTTGTAAAAATTGTAAAGCCTATAAAAACCTACAAAAATATAGGTTAATCTAATAATTATCCAATTTATCTTGCTTCATTCCATTTCATCCTGTTGTACAATATATCATTTCAAAAATACAATATTAATCCAATTACATGGGCACTCGTATACAATTAGATCTCTTCTATATAAATTAATTAGGAGACAAAAATTTTATTTGGCACTTGAAATAAAATAAAATAACATTGGCTAATACAATTTTTCAATAGATAAAATCATTAATAAAATATCAAATTAAAAAAGAGACAATATTATTCAGATTTCCTCCTTTTTAGCAAAATTAAGAAAAATCAAACCTATAATGTGTATCAATGTATGGTAATAATAATGATAATATTACTCAATAATTATATTATTCACTATTATTAATTATCGTTATTTATTGTTATTATTATATTATTCTTAATTTATATTCTTAATTACTAATAACTTTTATTATATTACACTCTATATAAGATTATACTATGGTATATATATATATATATATATAGTATACCAAAAGTAGCCATACAAAGACCATAATGGGCCACAAGTTTCTTAATTATTAATTATTAATAATTTTTGTTATTAATAAAATTCTTAATTATTAATAATTTTTATTATATTATATTGTACATAAGATTATACTATGGTATATATATAGTATACCAAAGATAGCCATGCAGAGACCATAATAGGCCACAAGTAGTGTACTAAACGATTGTGCAT